TAATAATATAAGATACAATAATATATGATACCTTTAATTTGTGGTAAATGTTCATTTTAAATGCAGGCCTATCACATAAATGAAAGGATTGATTCATGAATTTAAGAACTGAAATTGAAAGGATAAAGAGATGGCCAAACTTAGAAAACAGATGTCGGTGCAATCCAAACTGGAAGAGTGTTTGGTAATTGGGTCATATCTAGAGCTATAGATCTTAGATTTAGGTCTACTTTATATGGATGGAAAGGTAAGACATAGGCCTACAACTTTCATATTGAGCCCAAGATCTAAAAAGGCCATTTTCAGGTAAAAATTATAGCAACAATAAAAAAAGCTCGAATCTATCCTCTAAAGAAGCCCGAATCTGTCCTCCAGCCCGAGCACTGTTCAGTATTTTGGCGCCCGAGCACTGTTTAGTAGTTTGGCCATATCTGGAGTTCTAGAAGTCGAAATGAGCTGAATGTTTTACACAAGAAAGCTGAGACAATTTCCTACAACTTTCATGTTTCAAGTGGCTCCAATTTTGATATTATCAATGACATTTTGGGCAAACAAGAGAAGATAAGGATTGTCACCAAGTCAAGAGTTGGCCACCCACTCATCAATTAGTCATCAAATCAATAGTTCCCAATTTTGGCCTATAAAAGGAGGCATTTGCCATGCATTTAGGCATCTTGGTGTCCAGATCAAGATCATGCTCTTGCTTTCTCTCTTTGTATTTTTTGTAATGTTTATGCTTTGTTTTCATTAATATCAAGTTTATGCCTTTCATTTCCTTTCCTTTGCTTAGTTAACTTTTATCTTATTTATGTTCTTATTTTGTTTATCTATTTTTCTTTATTTCATTATGTCAAGGTGAAAAGGTTACACTAATGGTGTAAGAATAAGTATAGTATAAACTTAATATGGACTTTAATGTTTGATACTAACATGTTTTGTATTTGTTATCTTGTTCACTCTTTAATACTTTGCTTGTTAAATGACTAATCTTGATTTATGTTGTATAATAATTAGTACAACAAATGCTTGGCACTTTCATAGCCCACACTGTATGGTATAACCGACACCTGAGCTATGAAAGGAACTTGATTTATTGTTAACATAAGTTATAATCATGAATGCTTGACGAAATTTACAAGTATTAGCATTAATTGAATAAGATGACTAATGTAATCATGTTAACAATTTATAATCTGATTGGAACCTCCTTTGTGTGTGGTTTCCAATTGAATAATAAGAGTTTATACTATACTTGTTTGACATACCATTAGTGGATCCTCTAACCTTGACATTGTTTGTTATCATTGTTTAATCCTTACATTAATTTTCCATCTCAAAGTTCTTATCAACTTTTCTTCTTCTTCTTCTTCTTCTTCTTTTTCATTATTATTATTTTTGTTGTTATTATTATTATTATTATTACTACTACTACTACTACTGCTACCACTACTACTACTACTACTATTATTGTTGTTGTTGTTATTGCTACTATTATTGGTGTTTATAATTTGTACAATTAACCTCTCTGTGGTTCGACCCCAGTCTTGCCGGGTTATTTATTACTTCGACACTCCTGCACTTGGGAGAAGACATCAATTTTTTAGTCGTGTCAAGTTTTTGGCACCATTGCCAGGGAGGTAAGTTTTGTATAAATTATAATATTTATTTTATTTTCTCTTTTCACTTTTCTTGTATATAACTTTGTTTCTTTTCTCTTGTTTCTTCTTCTTTTGTTTTCTTCTTCTTTTTATTCTATTCCTACACGTGCATGAGAGTGTGGTCACGTACATCAAGTGGTAGACTTTGTAGGGTATCCTCATCATTTTTCGAAAATATGGCCGAAGAAGATAATCAATCACTTCATAATGAGAATAACCGTGCTAAAACACTTAGAGACCACATGAATCCCACAAGAACAAGTGCACCATCATGCACAGTGTTTCCTCCCAATGCATCTCATTTTAATTTCAAGCTAGGCATTATTCAACTTTTACCTTCTTTTCATGGCTTAGAATTAGAAAATTCATACTTGCATTTAAGGGAATTTGAGGAGGTCTGCAACACATATAATAATTTAAATTGTAGCATGAACACCATCAGATTAAAGCTTTTTCCTTTTTCATTAAAAGATAAAGCTAAAACATGGCTACAAAATTTAAGACCAGGATCCATTCGTGCTTGGGATGAAATGCAACAACAGTTTTTAAAGAAGTTTTTTCCATCTCATAGAACAAACTCTTTCAAAAGACAAATCCCCACTTTCACTCAAAAACCAGGAGAAACATTTTACCAATGTTAGGATAGGTATCGAGACTTGCTTAGTACTTGCCCTCATCATGGTTTTGAAACATGGAGATTGGTTTCACATTTCTATGAAGGATTAACACCTAGAGATAGGCAAATGGTTGAATTGATGTGCAATGGAACTTTTGAAGATAAAGATCCTGATGAAGCAATGGAGTACTTAGACTTGTTAGCTGAAAATGCTCAAAATTGGGACACCGCGGGTACTTATAAGGCACCGGGTAAAACTCAACCTCATATATCTAGTGGAGGTATGTACAACCTTAAGGAAGATTATGACCTTCGAGCCAAGTTTGCATATTTAGCTAGAAAGGTCGAGGCACTAGAATTGAAAAAGAGTGGTCAAATAAAATCTATTGAAAACATTGTGTGTCAAATCTGTGAAACAAATGAACACTCAACTAACGATTGTCCAACCTTGCCTTCTTTTAAGGAATGTCTCCATGAACAAGCCCATGCTTTAAACAGTTTCCAAAGGGCCAACCACAACCCATACTCCCAAACATACAACCCTGGTTGGAGAAATCACCCAAATTTCAGTTGGAAGAGTGAGAACAACAATGCACAAACTTCACAACCACCGTTTCAAGCACACCACAATTTCCAAAATTCTCATGGATATGCACCTCCTTATGCTCCACCTCCTAGAAGAAATCTTAAGGAAACATTGCTTGCATTCATTGAAAAGCAAGAGACAATCAATACTCAACTTACTCAAAACATGACAGATTTTAAAGATACTCTTGCTAAATTAACATCTGCTCTCAGTTTCCAAGAGAAAGGTAAGTTTCCATCTCAAACACAACAAAATCCCAAGGGGCAATACAATGCAAATGCAAGTAGTTCCGGAAGCCAACACATGGATAAAGTCAAATCAGTCACTACTCTTCGCAGTGGTAAGGTTATTGAAAAACCCTCTCTTGAACCTTATGAGAAAGATGATGAGTCAATATCTGAGGGTAAGGAAGGGGTTGAATTTGAAAATTACAAAGAAAAGACTGATTCTCCGCCGACTGATTCACCGCCAGCACTTCCATTTCCTCAAGCCATGACCAAACAAAGGAAAGTCAATCACAACTCTGAAATTTTTGAAATTTTCAAACAGGTAAGGATCAATATACCTTTGCTGGATGCTATTAAACAGGTTCCTTCCTATGCTAAATTTTTGAAAGATCTATGCACTGTAAAGAGAAAACTGAATGTGAAAAAGAAAGCTTTTCTAGCCGAACAAGTAAGTGCTATTCTTCAGAACAATAATGCTTTGAAATATAAAGACCCTGGTTGTCCTACAATTTCTTGCTTTATTGGAGAGCATAAAATTGAAAGAGCCTTACTTGATCTCGGTGCTAGTGTGAATTTGCTTCCATATTCAGTTTTTCAGAGTCTCAATCTACGTGAGTTAAAACCAACTTCTATAACTCTTTTACTTGTCGATAGATCTATAAAAGTGCCTCGAGGAATAGTTGAAGATGTGTTAGTACAAGTCGATAAATTCATTTATCTTGTGGATTTTGTTGTCTTGGACACACAACCTGTTGAAGCATGTAATTCATTTCCTGTTATTTTAGGACATCCATTTCTCGCAACTTCTAACTCGTTGATTAATTGTAGGAATGGACTGATGAAGCTATCATTTGGAAACATGACGTTGGAGATGAATATTTTCAACATTTGCAAGCAACCTGGAGATGATAATGATTTACAAGAAGTAGATCATATTGATGAATTAGTCTATGATCAACTTAAATCTACTTTAAGTAAAAATGAGTTGGATGAATATGAAGATTTGCAAATGATTTATTCTCAGGAAGAAATTACGGATGAAAAATGCACCGGAAATGTTGATACGGATCTTTTGTCAAAAGTGACAACAAATTTGACATCTGACATCACACCAATTGATGATTACTTTCCTAACAAATCCTTACTTTCTCTTAGTCCAATGCCTTGGTATGATAAAAATATAAATTTTCTTGCTTTAGGAGATTTGCTAGCTGATTGGAGTACCCAAGTGATTAGTACTTAAAAGTGCATTTTTATCATGGTTTTATATCATCATTTTGCACTTGAAGTATTAATAACTCTTTAACTAAAGCATGTTTTATAATAATATATCTAATAATATAAGATACCTTTAATTTGTGGTAAATGTTCATTTTAAATGCAGGCCTATCACATAAATGAAAGGATTGATTGATGAATTTAGGAACTGAAATTGAAAGGATAAAGGGATGGCCAAACTTAGAAAAGAGATGTCGATGCAATCCAAACCGGAACATTGTTCGGTAATTGGGTCATATCTAGAGCTATAGATCTCAGATTTAGGTTTAATTTATATGGATGGAAAATTAAGACATAGGTCTACAACTTTCATATGGAGCCCAAGATCTAAAAAGGCCATTTTCAAGTCCAAATTGTAGCAACAACAAAGAAGCCCGCATCTGTCCTCCAGCCCGAGCACTGTTCAGTATTTTGGCCATATCTGGAGTTCTAGAAGTCGAAATGAGCTGAATGTTTTACACAAGAAAGCTGAGACAATTGCCTACAACTTTCATGTTTTCAAGTGGCTCCAATTTTGATGTTATCAATGATGTTTTAGGTAGACAAGAGAAGATAAGGATTGTTACCAAGTCAAGAGTTGGCCACCCACTCATCAACTAGTCATCAAATCAATAGTTCCCAATTTTGGCCTATAAAAGGAGGCATTTGCCATGCATTTAGGCATCTTGGTTTCCAGATCAAGATCATGCTTTTTCTTTCTCTCTTTGTATTTTTTGTAATGTTTATGCTTTGCTTTCATTAATGTCAAGTTTATGCCTTTCATTTACTTAGCTAACTTTTATCTTATTTATGTTCTTATTTTGTTTATTTATTTATCTTTCTTTCATTATGTCTAGCTAAGTTTATTATGTCAAGGTGAAAAGGTTACACTAATGGTGTGAGAATATGTATAGTGTAAACTCAATATGGACTTTAATGTTTAATAATTTAATGTTTGATACTAACATGTTTTGTATTTGTTATCTTGTTCACTCTTTAATACTTTGCTTGTTAAATGACTAATCTTGATTATGTTGTATAACACTTGGTACAACAAATGATTGGCACTTTCATAGTTCATACTGTATGGTATAACCGACACCTGAGCTATGAAAGGAACTTGATTTGGTGTTAACATAAGTTATAATCATGAATGCTTGACGAGATTTACAAGTATTAGCATTAATCAAATAAGATGACTAAAGTAATCATGTTAACAATCTATAATCTGATTGGAACCTCCTTTGTGTGTGGTTTCCAATTGAATAATAAGAGTTTATACTATACTTGTTTGACATACCATTAGTGGATCCTCTAACCTTGACATTTGTTTTTATCATTGTTTAATCCTTACGTTAATCTTTCATCTCAAAGTTCTCATTAACTCTTCTTCTTCTTCTTCTTTATTATTGTTGTTGTTATTATTATTACTACTACTACTACTAGTATTATTAGTATTATTATTGCTACTATTATTATTGTTGTTGTTATTATTACTATTGTTGTTATTTATAATTATTGATTATAATTTGTACAATTAACCTCTCTGTGGTTCGACCCCGGTCTTGCCGGGTTATTTATTACTTCGACACTCCTGCACTTGGGAGAAGACATCAATCTTTTCATCGTGTCACCAAGATAAAGAAAAGTTTTTGAACGAAGTGAAGAACTTTTATTGTGATGACCCTAACTTATTCAAATATTGTCCTGATCAAATATTTCAAAGATTCATTCCCGACAATGAGGTAAGTAGTGTCATTAAACTTTGTCATTCTAAAGCACGTGGAAGTTATTTCTCGTCAAAAAAGACAGCTGCAATTTTTTTTCAAAATGGATTTTATTGGCCCACCATGTTCAAGGACACGCATGCATTCTTCAAAACTTGTGAAAATTGTCAAAAAGTTGATACTGATCAAAAAGTTTTGTTTTATAATTCTCAACTCTATGCATTCCCTAGAGAGCTAAGATCAAGATGGAGCAATCCTTATGGGGCCTTTGATATTGAGAATTCAATGAATGACAATGTTTTTAAGGAAAATGGACATCATTTGAAAGCTTACTTTGATAATTTTCCTAGTGAAAATGAATCAACTGGTTTGAATGATCTCGTAGATAAAGGTTGATTATTTTTGTTTTTCTCACATTGTTTTTGTGTTTCTTTTTAAGTGATTTTTGCTAGTTTCACTCACCCTAGTTAAATGGCGGATAACGATACTCCATGACTTAAGTCAATTCTTTCAGTTTCCCACAATAACTGATATCTATGTATATATTTGTGCAATTCTTTGAATCTCTCTTCCAATTCTCATTTGAAAATGGACACTAATCTTGAAAAATTGAAAAAGTATTTTCCCGCTTTGCCTCAGAATGCGATTACAAAAATTTACCGTGCTAGATGTGCAAGATTGAGATTGTTAATGAATCATGGAATTCCTGAAGATATTCGCTGGTTGATTGAAGCAATGGTCCAATTATCACGTGAGTCCTCTAACTCCTTCATTTCACACATGCCTAGAACAGGTAAAAGCCCTTTTACAAAGAAATATCGTGCAAAACGACTGAAAGTCTGTCATCGATGTGCTAGATGGACTTGTAATACACAATGTCGTTCTTTAGGAATGGTATCTATAAACCGTGAAGATAAAATACAATTCATTAAGGATGGCCTGAGTAAGGAGTCTTTAGATAATCTTCTATTGACTCTTGAGACGCATCCTAGTGGAGATGTGCATTGTGCAATTCATGATTTATGGCCACTATTTCATAAAGAACATGATCGACTTAGTCTTGGGAATCTGACTAAAAAAGACCCTGTTTGCCAGTTTTTAAGAAAACTAGATGGGAAGCCTATCCTCGACCCATAGAGGGAGTTTAAGTCGTTCTTGGACGTAAAACCAAGGGAAGATGTGAGCCACAATCACAACTACCTGTACATACACATGCTTTTTCAAAAGTAAATAAATAAATAAATAAATAAAGAGAAAGAGAGAGAGTGTGTGAGACTCTAGCTAGCCTATATATAGGTGGTATGATTGCCTTTCTAATTTCTCATCTATAAAATCCTCTTTTCCTTCCCTTCATTTCCACTCAATCCATACATTCATCAAATATAGAAGTGTGTAGAAATGGCAAGTTCCTCAAGTCATCAAATAAAAAGTATTTATGTTTTCGGTGGATCTAGTCCTGGGACTAGTAATAAGCTGGTTGGGGGGTGTGATTAGTACTTAAAAGTGCATTTTTATCATGGTTTTATATCATCATTTTGCACTTGAAGTATCAATAACTCCTTAACTAAAGCATGTTTTATAATAATATATCTAATAATATAAGATACCTTTAATTTGTGGTAAATATTCATTTTAAATGCAGGCCTATCACATAAATGAAAGGATTGATTTATGACTTTAAGAACTTAAATTGCAAGGGCAAAGAGATGACCAAAATTAGAAAAGAGATGTCGGTGCAATCCAAACCGGAACACTATTCGGTAATTGGGTCATATCTGGAGTTATAGATCTCAGATTTAGGTCTACTTTATATGGATGGAAAGGTAAGACATAGGCCTACAACTTTCATATGGATCCCAAGATCTAAAAAGGCCATTTTCAAGTCCAAATTGTAGCAACAACAAAGAAGCCCGAATCTGTCCTCCAGCCCGAGCACTATTCAGTCTTTTGGCCATATCTGGAGTTCTAGAAGTCCAAATGAGCTGAATTTTGAGTGGCTCCAATTTTGACGTTATCAATGACGTTTTGGACAGACAAGAGAAGATAAGGATTGTCACTAAGTCAAGAGTTGGCCACCCACTCATCAATTAGTCATCAAATCAATAGTTCCCAATTTTGGCCTATAAAAGGAGGCATTTGCCATGCATTTAGGCATCTTGGTTTCCAGATCAAGATCATGCTCTTCCTTTCTCTCTTTGTATTTTTTGTAATGTTTATGCTTTGCTTTCATTAATATCAAGTTTATGCCTTTCATTTCCTTTCATTTACGTAGTTAACTTTTATCTTATTTATGTTCTTATTTTGTTTATTTATTTTTCTTTCTTTCATTATGTCTAGCTATATTTATTATGTCAAGGTGAAAAGGCTACACTAATAGTGTAAGAATAAGTATAGTGTAAACTTAATATGGATTTTAATGTTTGATACTAACATGTTTTGTATTTGTTATCTTGTTCACTCTTTAATACTTTGCTTGTTAAATGACTAATCTTGATTTATGTTGTATAACACTTGGTACAACAAATGCTTGGCACTTTCATAGCTCATACTGTATGGTATAACCGACACCTGAGATATGAAAGGAACTTGATTTGTTGTTAACATAAATTATAATCATGAATGCTTGACGAGATTTACAAGTATTAGCATTAATTGAATAAGATGACTAATGTAATCATGTTAACAATCTATAATCAGAATGGAACCTCCTTTGTGTGTGGTTTCCTATTGAATAATAAGAGTTTATACTATACTTGTTTGACATACCATTAGTGGATCCTCTAACCTTGACATTTGTTATTATTATTGTTTAATCCTTACATTAATTTTTCATCTCCAAGTTCTCATCATCTTCTTCTTCTTCTCTTTCATTATTATTATTATTATTATTATTATTATTATTATTATTATTATTATAGTTATTATTGTTATTGTCATTGTTGTTATTATTGTTATTACTATTATTATTGTTGTTGTTATTACTATTATTGTTGTTGTACTATTGTCGTTTATAATTTGTACAATTAACCTCCCTGTGGTTCGACCCCAGTCTTGTCGGGTTATTTATTACTTCGACACTCTTGCACTTGGGAGAAGACATCAATCTTTTAGTCATGTCAAGTTTTTGGCGCCGTTACCGGGGAGGTAAGTCTTGTATAAATTATAGTTTTTATTTTATTTTCTCTTTTCACTTTTCTTGTATACAAGTTTGTCTCTTTTATTTTGTTTCTCCTTATTTTGTTTTCTTTCTCCTTCTTTTGTTTTCTTCTTCCTTTTATTCTATTCCTACGCGTGCACTCCTACACGTGCATGAGAGTGTGGTCACGTACATCAAGTGGTAGACTTTGTAGGGTATCCTCATCATTTTCAGAAAATATGGCCGAAGAAGATAATCAATCACTTCATAATGAGAATAATGAGAATAACCGTGCTAGAACACTTAGAGACCACATGAATCCCACAAGAACAAGTGCACCATCATGCATAGTTTTTCCTCCCGATGCATCTCATTTTAATTTTAAACCAGGTATTATTCAACTTTTATCTTCTTTTCCCCAGGTATTATTCAACTTTTACCTTCTTTTCATGGTTTAGAATTGGAAAATCCATACTTGTATTTAAGGGAATTTGAGGAGGTTTGCAACACATATAATAATTTAAATTGTAGCATGAACACCATCAGATTAAAGCTTTTTCCTTTTTCATTAAAAGATAAAGCTAAAACATGGCTACAAAATTTAAGACCAGGATCCATTCGTGCTTGGGATGAAATGCAACAACAATTTTTAAAGAAGTTTTTTCCATCTCATAGAACAAACTCTTTCAAGAGACAAATCACCACTTTCACTCAAAAACCAGGAGAAACATTTTACCAATGTTGGGATAGGTATCGAGACTTGCTTAGTACTTGCCCTCATCATGGTTTTGAAACATGGAGATTGGTTTCACATTTCTATGAAGGGTTAACACCTAAAGATAGGCAAATGGTTGAATTGATGTGCAATGGAACTTTTGAAGATAAAGACCCTGATGAAGCAATGGAGTACTTAGACTTGTTATTTGAAAATGCTCAAAATTGAGACACCGCGGGTACTTATGAGGCACCGCGGGTACTTATGAGGCACCGAGTAAAACTCAACCTTATATATCTAGTGGAGGTATGTACAACCTTTAGGAAGATGATGACCTTCAAGCCAAGTTTGCTTCTTTAGCTAGAAAAGTCGAGGCACTAGAATTGAAAAAGAGTGATCAATTAAAATCTGTTGAAAATATTGTGTGTCAAATCTGTGAAACAAATGAACACTCAACCAACGATTGTCCAACCTTGCTTTCTTTTAAGGAATGTCTCCATGAACAAGCCTATGCTTTAAACAGTTTTCAAAGGGCCAACTACAACCCATACTAAAAAACATACAACCTTGATTGGAGAAATCACCCAAATTTTAGTTGGAAGAGTGAGAACAACAATGCACAAACTTCACAACCACCATTTCAAGCACACCACAATTTCCAAAATTCTCATGGATATGCACCTCCTTATGCTCCACCTTCTAGAAGAAATCTTGAGGAAACATTGTATGCATTCATTGAAAAGCAAGAGACAATCAATACTCAACTTGCTCAAAACATGACAGATTTTAAAGATACTCTTGCAAAATTAACATCAACATGACAGATTTTAAAGATACTCTTGCTAAATTAACATCTGCTCTCAGTTTCCAAGAGAAAGGTAAGTTTCCATCTCAAACACAACAAAATCCCAAGGGGCAATACAATGCAAATGCAAGTAGTTCCGGAAGCCAACACATGGATCAAGTCAAATCAGTCACTACTCTGCGTAGTGGTAAGGTTATTGAAAAACCCTCTATTAAACCTTATGAGAAAGATGATGAGTCAATCTCTGAGGGTAAGGAAGGGGTTGAATCTGAAAATTGCAAAGAAACGACTGATTCACCGCCAGCACTTCCATTTCCTCAAGCCATGACCAAACAAAGGAAAGTCAATCACAACTCTGAAATTTTTGAAATTTTCAAACAGGTAAGGATCAATATACCTTTGCTGGATGCTATTAAACAGGTTCCTTCCTATGCTAAATTTTTGAAAGATCTATGCATTGTGAAGAGAAAACTGAATGTGAAAAAGAAAGCCTTTCTAGCCGAACAAGTAAGTGCTATTCTTCAGAACAATAATGCTTTGAAATATAAAGACCCTGGTTGTCCTACAATTTCTTGCTTTATTGGAGAACAAAAAATTGAAAGAGCCTTACTTGATCTTGGAGCTAGTGTGAATTTACTTCCATATTCAGTTTTTCAGAGTCTCAATCTAGGTGAGTTAAAACCAACTTCTATATCTCTTTTACTTGCCGATAGATCTGTAAAAGTGCCTAGAGGAATAATTGAAGATGTGTTAGTACAAGTTGATAAATTCATTTATCCTGTGGATTTTATTGTCTTGGACACAAAACCTGTTGAAGCATGTAATTCATTTCCTATTAATTTAGGACATTCGTTTCTTGCAACCTCTAACGCATTGATTAATTATAGGAATGGACTGATGAAGCTATCATTTCGAAACATGACATTGGAGATGAATATTTTCAACATTTGCAAGCAACCTAGAGATGATAATGATTTACAAGAAGTAGATCATATTGACGAATTAGTTTATGATCAACTTGAATCTACTTTAAGTAAAAATGAGTTAGATGAATCTGAAGATTTGCAAATGATTTATTCCAAGGAAGAAATCACGGATGAAACAAGCACCGAAAATGTTGATGTGAATCTTTTGTCAACAACGACAACAGATTTGACATTTGACATCACACCAATCGATGATTACTTTCCTAACGAATCCTTACTTTCTCTTAGTCCAATTCCTTGGTGTGATAAAAATAACAATTTTCTTGCTTTAGGAGATTTGCCAGCTGATTGGAGTACCCAAGACAAAGAAAAGTTTTTGAATGAAGTGAAGAACTTTTATTGTGATAACCCTAACTTATTCAAATATTGTCCTGATCAAATATTTCAAAGATTCATTCCCGACAATGAGGTAAGTAGTGTCATTAAACTTTGTCATTCTGAAGCATGTGGAAGTTATTTCTCGTGAAAAAAGACAGCTATAAAAATCTTTCAAAATGGATTTTATTGCCCACCATGTTCAAGGACACGCATGCATTCTGCAAAACTTGTGAAAATTGTCAAAAAGTTGACACTGGTCAAAAAGTTTTTTTTTATAATTCTCAACTCTATTCATTCCCTAGAGAGCTAAGATCAAGATGGAACAATCCTTATGGGGCCTATGATATTGAGAATTCAATGAATGACAATGTTTTTAAGGAAAATGGACATCGTTTGAAAGCTTACTTTGATAATTTTCCTAGTGAAAATGAATCAACTGGTTTGAATGATCTTATAGATAAAGGTTGATTATTTTGTTTTTCTTACATTGTTTTTGTGTTTCTTTTTGAGTGATTTTTGCTAGTTTCTCTCATCCCGGTCAAATGGCAGACAACAGTACTTTGTGACTTCAGTCGATTCTTTCAGTTTCCCACAATAACTGATATCTGTGTATATATTTGTGCAATTCTTTGAATCTCTCTTCCAATTCTCATTTTGAAAATGGACACTAATCTTAAAAAATTGCAGATTAAAAAGTATTTTCCCGCTTTGCCTCAGAATGCGATTACAAAAATTTACCGTGCTAGATGTGCAAGATTGAGATTGTTAATGAATCATGGAATTCCTGAAGATATTCGCTGGTTGATTAAAGCGAAGGATCGATTATCATGTGAGTCCTCTAACTCCTTCATTTCACACATGTCTAGAACAGGTAAAAGCACTTTTGTAAAGAAACATCGTGCAAAACGACTGAAAGTATGTCATCGATGTGCTAGATGGACTTGTAATACACAATGTCGTTCTTTAGGAATGGTATCTATAAACCGTGAAGATAAAATACAATTCATTAAGGATGGCCTGAGTAAGGAGTCTTTAGATAATCTTCTATTGACTCTTGAGACGCATCCTAGTGGAGATGTGCATCGTGCAATTCATGATTTATGGCCCCATTTTCATAAAGAACATGATCGACTTAGTCTTGGGAATCTGACTAAAAAATACCCTGTTTACCAGTTTTTAAGAAAACTGGATGGGAAGCCTATCCCCGACCCATAGAGGGCGTTTAAGCCGTTCTTGGACGTAAAACCAAGGGAAGATGTGAGCTATAATCATAACTACTTGTACATACACATGCTTTTTCAAAAGTAAATAAATACAGAGAGAGAGAGAGAGTGTGTGAGACTCCAGCTGGCCTATATATAGGTGTTACGATTGTCTTTCTAATTTCTCATCTATAAAACCCTCTCTTCCTTCCTTTCATTTCTACTCAACCCATACATTCAACAACTACAGAAGTGTGCAGAAATGGCAAGTTCCTCAAGTCATCATATAAGAAATATTTGTGTTTTCGGTGGATCTAGTCCTGGGAATGAAAAATAGTTTTTAGAATCAGCAAATCATCTTGGTCAAGTGCTAGCTGACAGAAAGATTCATTTAGTGTATGGGGGAGGCAGTCTTGGGTTAATGGGAGGTGTGTCAATAGCTGCATTTTTAGGAGGTAGTCAAGTTTTGGGGGTCGTCCCCGAAGCTTTAGCACAAGGGACATCATTGGAAAAACAATTGGAGAGGAACATCAAGTCTCCACAATGTCGGCTTGAATGAATGCAATGTTTAACCATGTTGATGCCTTCATTGCTTTAACAGGTGGTCTAGGCACATTGGAAGAGATTTTTCATTTTTCCTCTTGGGCCCAACTGCACATTCACCATAAACCTATAGGTTTGTTAAATGTTAATGGTTATTATGATAAGTTGTTGTCTTTTCTTGATCATGCTGTGGAACAGGAATTTCTAACATCTTCTGCACGACAAATCATAATCTTTGCTGCTACTGCTGAACAATTGATTGACCAACTACAATCTTTCATTCCTGTAATTGATCCTTCCATGAGTCGCATAAATTGGTCAACTAAGGAAAGCCGTAAAAAGCTTAGATTGGATTTGAGCCTTCATTTGTGAATTTTTGTGTCTTTTTATTTTATTATTGTGTTTTGTTATTTCTTATTTTTGTTTAAGTGTGTTTCAGGTTTGTCAATGTTCGTCATTTCAGGTGATATCTTCTATACTCTTTCTTTCTACCTTAGAACATTGAGGACAATGTCTCGTTTTGGTTGGGGGGAGAGGGTAGTAGTTGATAAAAAAAAAATTTGTTTTCCATTTCATAAAGCATGTGCATAATTGTTGTTACTAAGATGGCAGAGTAAAGAAGCTCTTTTGTTAAAGTGACTCTTGAGACGCATCTTAGTAACCATTCTTAATAAGGTCTATTATAATACTTCTTGAAATATTCAGGTTTACAAACTCTCGCATTGTTATCACTTAATTCTGCTCATATACTTATTTAACATGTATTCTTAAACCTTAATTTACACACACACACTTTAACATATGATTTTGGGTTGCATATTGGATTATTACATTATTTATGTTCTTTTGTTAAAGGTAACAACTAAAGGAAAGGGATTGTATATAACTAAAAAAAAAGAAAAAAAAGAAAAAAAAATGATAATAATAAAAATGTAGATAAGTTTGGTTTTGTAGCCTCCCTAACCTAAGCAATTAAGCCCGAAAGGGTGTTTTAACACTTAATACCCTAAAGTCAACTGACTTGGGAGCTATTGGCCCAACACTTGTTACATGGGTTAAGGAGAAAAGCTTAAGGGAATCAAACATTGCACTATCTACATATTAGTAACTGCGACCCGAGTTACTAAGCTCGTAGGGGTGTCTTAACACCTAATGCCCTAAGACCATCTAGTCTGGGAGTCATTAGCCGAAAGCTCATTACATGGGTTAAAGATGCATGATGTTTTTAAATTATATGTATATATATTTAAAAAAAAAACAAGAAGAAAAAAAAGACAAAAATAATAATTCCAACCTAAGGAAGTTAACCTTAACTATTAGAACAAAAATTTTGTTTTCTTCCAAGAAAAGCCCCATAATTATGTGTTGATACATTGAGCACAAAAGAAAGGTTTATGAATATCTTGTTAAAAGGTATTGAGCAGATATATATATAAATGAGAGTTTGTTTATCTGGATAGATTAATGGAAGTTAAATTATGAATAATGAGAGTTTGTTTATCTGGATAGATTAATGGAAGTTAAATGATGAATGCCTTGCTTTGTGAAATTTGTAAATTGTTTTAACGCTTTGATTACTAGGGACTAGTAATAAGCTGGTTGGGGGGTGTGATTAGTACTTAAAAGTGCATTTTTATCATGGTTTTATATCATCATTTTGCACTTTAAGTATCAATAACTCCTTAACCAAAGCTTGTTTTATAATAATGTATCTAATAATATAAGATACCTATAATTTGTGGTAAATGTCTATTTTTAATGCAGGCCTATCACATAAATGAAAGGATTGATTGATGACTTTAAGAACTTAAATTGCAAGGGCAACAAGATGACCAAAATTAGAAAAGAGATGTCGGTGCAATCCAAACCGAAACACTGTTTGGTAATTGGGTCATATCTAGAGCTATAGATCTCAGATTTAGGTCTACTTTATATGGATGGAAAGGTAAGACATAGGCCTACAACTTTCATATGGAGCCCAACCTAAGTCAACTAACTTGGGAGCTATTGGCCCAATGCTTGTTACATAGGTTGAGGAGAAAAGCTTAAGGGAACCAAACATTGCACTATCTACATATCAGTATCTGTGACCCGAGTTACTAAGCTCGTAGGGGTGTCTGAACACCTAATGCCCTAAGACCAACTAGTCTGGGAGTCATTAGCTGAAAGCTCGTTACATGAGTTAAAAATGCATAGTGTTTTTAAATTATATGTATATATATCTAAAAGAAAAAGAAAAAAAAGACAAAAAAATAATCCCAACGAGACAAAAATAATAATCTCAACCCAAGGAAGTTAACCTTAAACATTAGAACAAAAATTTTGTTTTCTTCCAAGAAAAGCCCCATAATTATATGTTGATACATTAAGCACAAAAGAAAGGTTTGTTTATCTGCATAGATTAATGGAAGTTGAATGATAAGTACCTTGTGATTAGTACTTAAAAGTGCATTTTTATCATGGTTTTATATCATCATTTTGCACTTGAAGTATCAATAACTCCTTAACTAAAGCATGTTTTATAATAATATATCAAATAATATAAGATACCTTTATTTTATGGTAAATGTTCATTTTAAATGCAGGCCTATCACATAAATGAAAGGATTGATTGATGACTTTAAGAACTTAAATTGCAAGGGCAAAAAGATGACCAAAATTTGAAAAGAGATGTCGGTGCAATCCAAACCAGAACACTATTTGGTAATTTTCCAAACCGGAACACTGTTCGGTAATTGGGTCATATCTAGAGCTATAGATCTCAGATTTAGGTCTACTTTATATGGATGGAAAGGTAAGACATAGGCCTACAACTTTCATATGGAGCCCAAGATCTAAAAATTTCATTTTCAAGACCAAATTGTAGCAACAACAAAGAAGCCCGAAGCTGTCCTCCAGTGTGAGCACTGTTCAGTATTTTGGCCATATCTGGAGTTTTAGAAGTCCAAATGAGCTGAAGTTTTTACACAACAAAGCTGAGACAATTGTCTACAACTTTCATGTTTTCAAGTGGCTCCAATGTTGACGTTATCAATGACGTTTTGGGTAGATAAGAGAAGATAAGGATTGTCACCAAGTCAAGAGTTGGCCACCAACTCATCAATTAGTCATCACATCAATAGCTCCCAATTTTGGCCTATAATTAGTCATCAAATCAATAGTTCCCAATTTTGGCCTATAAAAGGAGGCATTTGCCATGCATTTAGGCATCTTGGTTTCCAGATCAAGATCATGCTCTTGCTTTCTCTCTTTGTATTTTTTGTAATGTTTATGCTTTGCTTTCATTAATATCAAGTTTATGACTTTCATTTACTTAGTTAACTTTTATCTTATTTTGTTTATTTATTTTTCTTTCTTTCATTATGTCTAGCTAAGTTTATTATGTCAATGTGAAAAGGTTACACTAATGGTGTCAGAATAAGTATAGTGTAAACTCAATATGGACTTTAATGTTTGATACTAACATGTTTTATATTTGTTATCTTGTTTACTCTTTAATACTTTGCTTGTTAAATGATTAATCTTGATTTATGTTGTATAACACTTGGTACAATAAATGCTTGGCACCTTCATAGCCCATGCTGTATGGTATAACCGACACCTGAGCTATGAAAGGAACTTGATTTGTTGTTAACATAAGTATAATCATGAATGCTTGACGAGATTTACAAGTATTAGCATTAATTGAATAAAATGACTAATGTAATCATGTTAACAATCTATAATCTGATTGGAACCTCCTTTGTGTGTGGTTTCCAATTGCATAATAAGAGTTTATACTATACTTGTTTGACATACCATTAGTGGATCCTTTAACCTTGACATTTGTTATTATCATTGTTTAATCGTTACATTAATATTCCATCTCAAAGTTCTCATCCTCTTCTCCTTCTTTTTCTGTATTATTATTATTATTATTATTATTATTATTAGTATTACTACTACTACTACTACTACTACTACTACTACTACTACTACTATTATTGTTATTATTGTTATTATTGTTGTTGTTATTATTATTATTGTTGTTATTATTATTATTGTTGTTGTATTATTCTTCTTTATAATTTATACAATTAACCTCCCTGTGGTTCGACCCCGGTCTTGCTGGGTTATTTATTACTTCGACACTCCTGCACTTGGGAGAAGACATTAATCTTTTCGTCGTGTCAAGTTTTTGGTGTCGTTGCCGGGGAGGTAAGTTTTGTATAAATTATAATATTTATTTTATTTTCTCTTTTCACTTTTCTTGTATATAACTTTGTTTCTTTGTTCTTGTTTCTTCTTATTTTATTTTCTTCTTCCTTTTATTCTATTCCTACACGTGGATGAGAGTGTGGTCACGTACATCAAGTGGTAGACTTTTTAAGGTATCCTCATTATTTTTAGAAAATATGGCCGAAGAAGATAATCAATCACTTCATAATGAGAATAATGAGAATAATCGTGCTAGAACACTTAGAGACCATA